CATTTTTCAATACGGAATCGTGAAGCCTTGTCGAACGCTCGTCCGCCTGTCGAGAGTCGTTGCAATCTCGAGTGGTACTTTTGACGCCAACCTTTGTGTGTTTCTTGATGGTCATGTAGACTTTGCCGTAACACAGGGCGATCATCACGAGCGCCACGACGAAGCAAATTACCTGGAATGCCAACCTCAAAAGGTCCAAGGACCGGTAACTGGATCTAAGGGTTCTGGGGATGAACCCAGGAATACTGATGACCAGTGAGAATACGAATGCGGCCCAAGCTGCTATCTTGCCGCATTTGTGGGTGAAGAACCGGCGGTGTGGCCGACAAACGCAGTCGTAGCGGTCCGCTGCGATCACAGCAGTCAACATAATTGACGTACCAATTGCTATTGAATCAAGAGCCTCGATAATAAATTTAAACTCCGGGACCTCATTGCTAGCCATATAAGCAACCTTATCACCAACGAGTTGCAAAGCCAGCAGCACGCAGACTGCCAGATCGGCCCAGGCTAAGGCCATGATGAAAACATGGGTACTGGTTTTTAGAGTCTTTGGCCAGTAGACACGGAGTATGAGGCAGTTACCGGGCACGCCAAATAAGCAAACTACACTCTCCACAATCAGCTTGAATAGGTCACCAATCGTGATATACAAGCCTGAATCCGATTCTGTGTTTTCAAAAGAAGAGGTGGAATTCGGCACTGGAGTGTTCTCCATTGCTGGAGTTTTTCTCGACAAACTTGTGTTGAAATGCTCCCGTTAAATTTGGCTCAGAAGAACAGTGGATATTACATTGTAATATTGTCTGTGCTATACTTGTGCGCTACAAGAAAGCACTCTGACACTTTCTCCGCAGCATAAAACATGCAGCATCCATGTATACGTAATGCGACAGAAATCGGAGGCGATGTGATCAACCCAGTTGACCATGTTGACGATGTCAGAACGTCAAAGAAGCTGGATACCACCTTCATTCGTCCATCCGTCGAATTTGTAGCAGCTTCATAGGATCCACATACCCAACGGCCGGCAGCTTAAGCAAGTCCAACGAAGCTCGGCTCGTTTCGTCATGGGCAATTACGGAAGAACTATAGCAGTGTTACATTCATGTTAGAACATCTTCACTGGCCCTCACTACAGGAACGTCGTCACCAAAATCGCCTGCATATGATGTACAAGATCAGATACAACTTGATCGACATCCCTTGGAGCAGCTATCTTACTCATTTATCTACACCTACCAGAGAATACAGTTCCAGATTCACTATCCCACATACCACATCATCAGTGTATGCCAGCTCATACTTCCCACGAACCATCCGGGAGTGGCACAACCTCCCAGTTGATCCTGCTGCATACCCATCCCTCAACGCCTTCAATTTGTTCTGCGCTGGGGGACCTCCGCTTGAATTAACCGCACCACCAGATGTTTACTTGCACCTGTATATACAGCACTGTACCAGTACAAATTACTGTTGTCTGACAATGCATGCACCCAACGCAGTGCATTTATCTTCAACCATATGAAGGCAGCACTTATAAGGAAGAAGAAGAAGAAGAAGAAGATGTGCTTTAACAGTTTCCTGCTGTGTATTGGAAGCTGTAGATTGGCCAATCATGGTCATGCACGTGTCCACTCATTCATTATCAGGAACACATTGGACGTAGCAGCTTCAAAGCATTTTCTCTTTTTTTAACATGCACCGCTAGTGAAAAGGAGTTTTTTATCATTACCCTATTGAAACCTGGCTTTCAACTTGAGGTTTTAATATATGACAAACATGAACCTTTTTTGTGAGCTGTCCTGAAGGAAGTTATTGTGCTTTGTGCCAAACCAAACGCAGCGCAAGTCACTGTTAGGTATAAATTTAATCTGGGTGTGTACAGACACTGGTTTGGTTTGGCGTTATTAAATTGCGGTACATAGTGCCATCGCTCACCTGATGTTTTTCCTATCTCTGCTAATTAAATTGGAGACACTGGGAAGAATTGTAATCAAATTTAAAAGCAAGTTTGAAGCTTGTGATTTGTTTTCGTTCACCTTTGTACTCCCCTTTTGTATAAGGCTGAACAAGAACGATTGTGCACATTTGAAATTAAAAAAAAAAAAACGTTAAATTTAAAAAAGAGGAAAATCAATAAGCTTTTTTCAGAGGAGCAACTGACATAAGGTGCAAATAAACAGCACGAACCAAAAATACATAGGCTGCAGTGCCCTCTTATTGTTTTATATGACACTCACTTTCTCATTTTTATACATTTTAATATGCAACCAAAAAAAACACACAAATAAAACAGACTAAGTATAAAACAACAGTAATCCAATACATCAGTACAAGCAATTTTCGAGAAAACTAAAACAAAACAACAAACCACACAAGACAACCAAAAGACAATAAACTGGACAATACTAACTGAATAACTAAACACTACAAAAACAGATGTTGACAGGGAGAAGAAAAAGATCTTATTGGAAGAGAGTCACCCATTTGTTAATGTGACCACCTGCAGTCGTCCCTTGTTATGTCATAGATAGTCTTGGCATTAATCGCCGTGGACGGTTCCAACTGCGCATGTATTTGTCTGAGTCACTCCCCTTTTCCATTGGTGGAAAATGAGTGCGTCCTCTTGTGACTCGACCTTGCCGTGACCACGCTACATGAAACCTGCAGCCAATCAGGGATAAGGGATAAGTGAAAACAAACCAATCACATTCAGCGGGGCGTTGGGACAACTAATTGTAAGTGACATGGTTAAAAGGATGAGTTAAGTTAACTGAGGGGGGAACTGGTTAATTTTACTCACAAATATAATCAATTTAACAACAATTTAAAACCTTTGATCAGTAATTTTGATGAATACACCGTAATTCAAGGTGACATGTCAAATAAACTTTCTCAATGTGTACGCAAGAGGGCCCCCATCGAATTTCGTTAGCAACGGAAAAACTGGACAAAAATCCTAATTTACACTAATAGTAAATTAAATACTCAATCTCTCTACTACATCATATTGTGCCAGAGTCCCTAATTTATTTAAATATTACTTATTCATAAATGATGATTCGATAAGAAAGGAGAATTGTTACCTGATAAAAGCGAGCGGTGCGCCGGCCGGCGGTGAGAGACACAGCACGTTGGGGAATGGGGTGTCACCGCTTGGTGGTGCTGTCACTTACCGCGCTAAGTGAATAAGCGAATTTCGGAACATGCACATGCTTACAATTTTGTTTTCCTCTTTTTCTCTGAACAAGCCGCAATTTGACGTCATGAAACATTCGCTGCGAAATTCGCCCGAGTATGAACCGGGCTTTATACTGTATTGCGCGAAGTCTCTATTATCAATAAAGCAAACGTTTTTTGACGTCAACTTTATGACATCAAAGTTATATCAATAAGCTTTTTCAGAGTGGCAATTGACATAAAGGTGCAAATAATAACACGACAGGTAATTTATATGCTGTTGTGTCCAGTTTTTGTTTTAATGTTGAAATGACACTTTCTTATAAATACAATTATGGAAAAGAGTGCGTCACAAACTCAAATTATCCGTGAAACATACATCTGAAGTTTAATCTGGATACATCAAGCAATCAGTTTATTTGGCAAGCTCTCTTTGACTCATTAGAATGTATAGACCGCTTGCAGATGCGTTCGATAATCGACGCGCAAAGGCGCGCGACGCCATGTTGTGGGACAAGCGTATATCTATCTATGCACATTTTGTCCCATAACATGGCGTCGCGCACCTTCGCGCGTCAAGTATCGAACGCGTCTGCAAGCAGTCTATTGAAGACGAAGGACGATGTCTATTTGTATCTTTCGTTTTCCTTAAGCCTACCATTCCCTATAATGTAACTTGCATGAAAAGTACAAAGAGTTACCGTGTTGAGTTACTGAGTTACTAACTCTATTAGGAGCGTGGGCGCAATGTGCGACCTTATTAAACTTCTTGTAAATAGCTCCTTAATGCTCAGGCCGATCGGCAAGAAATTTGGTGAACTTTCCTAACTTCTATCGGGGGTCAGCATGGTACCAAATATGCTATAGGATGTCGGTGCTTACCATGGTAACTGATATGGTAAGGCCAAAAAAAAAAATAAGTCGGTCTCTGGTCAGCGCGCGTCGATTTTAAACATGCGCGTCGATCTTCTTTTTTTTCCAAAATGTTCCGCGGTAGCTCCAACAGCGCACTCTATTTCCGCACCTCCTCATTTTGTTTTTACCAAAGAGCACCAAGGAATGGGAAATTGCACCAAGGCAAATGATCGAAAGCACCAAGGCAAATTATGGAGGACACCAATGTACATGAGGACACCAAAAAAGCAAAATAGTACCCCACCTTGTCTGTACAATCCAAGCTTGAAGAAAAAAAAAAGCAAAAAAAAAAAAAGCCGCGTGGCCGCGTCAATTCCGGAACTTTGGTCTGACCAGAGACCGAATATTATTTTTTTTGGCCTAATCATAAAATTGTGTCATTTTTTATTAAACAAAATGGAAATATGTATTACGTCATGATTCGGCTTTAATCTTCAGATAGTGGTCTAAGTGTATGAGTCATTTTTGTGCCCTAGCCTATCAAGTATCCACTTTAGACTGACATTTATGGTCACCTGATTATAATGTATGCTGGGAAATCAATATGGCCGCCATTAGCGCGACAAAAATGACCTTTTCTGCACAATAATTCTTTGTTTTGGGTACTTATAAACGCAAAGTATTCATCAAACAACGTACGTCGTTTGTGCAGATTTTGTTTGGACAATTTTTAAAATGTTATTTTAACAAATGTTATTTCGCAAAAGTGTGTATAAGGCCCACTATCGGTGATTGTACTACTTATTATGCAACAAAAACTGTTTTCGATAAAAAAAAAATTACGAAAATACGGTAAAGCGCCCTCTGGTTGTCAATTTTGGGGATTAGCGGGCAACCAACATTCCTTCCAATATGAAAAATGGAAGGGGGGATCATGGCGGACCCCCCCCCCCCCCTTCTTGTATTCTGTTTTATATTTCTGTTCATTTTATGTTTTTGTCAAAAGCGGTTTCTTATAGGTAAGCTTACAATTCAGACATCAAATGCGTAAAGAAAACGAACCGAGTCTTTCTAAAAGATCTTTATCTTGCTGAGAACTGCCTTGCAGTCTTTCCTGAATCGCCTGTTGGCTAGTCCGTAGATCAGCGGATTAACGGCGTTGTTGACAAAAAGAGTATTGGACAGGTTGTCGAGGATCACATGGAACACTGGGTCGGAGTAGGAAGCAAATGTACCGGCAGCACGAATCCAGTAGGGTAGCCAGGTCAGGAGAAACACAACGCTGGTGATGAAGAGCATCCTGGTTGTCTTACGCTGTAAAACTGCTGCGTCTGGCTTTGGTTTCGGGCGTCCTGCACCTTGGTGTGGGCGAGGGTCAGTGGTCCCGTTCACTCTACAAGATTCAGTAGTCTGTGACACAAGGACATGTTTGGTCAATGTCGCTTGTGGGTGAGTAGCCCATTTTTTCCCACTTTTTTCAACGGTAGATTCGTTGATTTCGTGGCTCGATGCTCCTTTGCTTTGTGCCATTGTGCTGAAATCAGTGTCCGTGCTCGGGCATGGTTTCTTTATGAACGCCGTGGACATGAAAGCCACGGCAGGAATATTCTGTTCGACATTTTTTAATACGGAATCCTGCAGCCTTGTCGAGCAATCCTCGGCTAATCGCGAGACGCCACAATCTTGAGTAGCATTTTTGACGTCGACTTTGGTGTGTTTCTTGATGGTCGTGTAGACTTTGCCGTAACACAGGGCGATCATCACGAGCGCAACGACGAAGCAAATGGCCTGAAATGCTAACTGCAAAAGTTCCAAAGACTGCTCACTGGCGGAGGTTCTTGGGATAATGGCAGGAATATTGATGACTAGTGAGAATACAAATGCTGCCCCAGCTGCTATCTTGCCGCGTTTGTGGGTGAAGAACCGGCGGTGTGACCGGCATATGCAGTCGTAGCGGTCCGCTGCGATCACAGCGGTCATCATAATCGACGTACCGATGGCTGTTGTCCCAAGAGCCCAAATAATAAATGTGAACTGCGGAACCTCATAGCCAGCCATTTCAGCAACCTTATCATAAATACGATGCACAGCCAGCACGCAGACGGTCAGATCGGCCCAGGCTAAGGCCATGATCAGAACATGGGTACTGGTTTTCAGAGTCTTTGTCCAGTAGACACGGAGTATGAGGCAGTTGCCAGGTGTGCCGAAAAGGATAGCAATGCTCTGTACAATCAGCTGGAATATGTTTCCAGCCGTGTCAGACAGGCCTGAATACGAGTCTGTGTTTTCAAAAGCAGACGTGGAATTCAGCAATGAAGTGTTTTCCATGGCTGGTGTTTCTCCCTACAAACTGATGTTAAAAGTATCCTCATAAAGTTGGCTCAGACGAACAGCGGACGTTTCTTTGTAATGTTGTCCGTCTATCCAGGTCCGCCAACTATCTCCGCAGCGTTACCTATAGCCTATATTTATAAGTAATGCAAGTCAACCCATGTTCACCGTGTTGACGATGTGATTTAACATTTCTTTCTGTGTATTGGAACTAGGTTCAACTTTCAACTTAAGCTTTTAAAATATAAAAATGACCCATTTGCGTGAACAGTACTACAGGAAATTATCGTGATTTGTGCCAAACCAAAAGCAGCGCAAGTCTCTGTGAGGTATACATTTAATCTGGGTGTGTACAGGAACTGGTTTTGTTTGGCGTAATTGAATCGCGGTACATGGTGCCACTGATAATTAAATTGGAGACTCAAGGAAGAGCTGTAATGAAAATCAAAAGCTGGTTTGAAGCTTGTTAATATTTTTCTTTACCTTTGAAACCCCCCCCCCTCTTTTATGAGGCTGAACAAGAACGATTGTGCAATTATTTTCGACGCATTACTACTTGACGCACAGATAAATACACCTTCATTTGACTTAAATTGAATAAAAGGCAAATCAAGAAAGCCGTATGTGGCCAGCTCTCTCTTTGACTCATTGAGATTTATCGAAGACAAGAATCTTACCATTCATTCCATACTATCACAACAACACAAATGTGCCTCCTTATTCAACTTCTTGTAACAGCTCCGGAACGCTTAGGCCGATCGGCATGAAATGTGGTCACTTATCCTAAGTTCAATAGGGCCCAGTGCAGCATGCTACCAAAACTATGCTATAAGATGTCAGTTGTCACCATTACAAGCGAAATGATTATAAACCGGTCATTTCGAATTAAATACAACAAAAATATGCATTTTTTTGTGAGTCAAAACCATGTTTTCTTTGCCTGAATCCATCAAGTATCCACTTAAGACTAAAATTCATGTCCACGTGACCAACAACAATGCATGCTGGGAAACAAATATGGGTGCGGGAAAAAAATGCAAAATGTGTTTCTTTGTTTTGGGGTTCTCATAAATCCAAAACATTCATAAAACTTCTTTCATAACATGGAAAAAAATATCTCGTTTCTGGACAAAATTGCAAAAATACGATTTTGCAAAACAAAACTTGTTATAGCGCTCGGATTTTTGTAGTCTGTCGCTGATTTTGGATGCCAAATGTTGTTCAGTTTGATGAGTATTTGACCCGAAGAAAGTGTGTATTTAATTTGAAACAATTTGGATAAAAAGTGTAGAAATTACGTGAAAAATACTGTTTTCAACCAAAAATAACCCAAAACATGGTAAAGCGCCTCTTGTTGTCATTTTTGTGGGTTAGCGGCCAAATTTTAATAAATACGGCTGCTGCACATGGAAATGAGGATGGGGAAACAATGTGCCCCGCGGCCACGAGCAGCCCAAAATACCCTGACTTCATAAAATTAAAAGTCTATACAGGGTGAGTAAAAAAAAAAAAAAAAGCACCAAATGTTGGGACTACTGTTTTATTAAAGTTCTGCATGTAGCACTTTAAAATCTAGGATATGAAAGCCCAATTCATCACCTTTTTTCTTGTACATATCATTCAAATGACTCATGTACTTTTTAAACACAACCAACGTTTTAAGGTTCTGTCCACGGATCACAAAAAAAAGGTGTGCGTTCTTTCAGCAAAACGAAAACAATTCACACATCCCTATGTGATTTCTTTTCGTTTTTGTGAAAGAACACTAATTTTTTTTGTGATCCGTGGGCAGAACCTTAAAACGGTGGTTGTGTTTATTCTGTACCTTGAAAAGTACACAAGTGATTTGAATATTTCTTGTACTTCATAAGTGATTTGAATAATTCTTGTACTTAAAGAAAGCTTAAAATTTGGCTTCCATATCCAAAATTTTGAAAATGCTACATTCAGAACTTCCCTAAAACAATGGTCCCAACATTTGGGTTTCGTTTTTTTGTGACTCACCCTGTAGAACACCTTTTGTGTTCATGTTCTGTGGTTCTGTTTATATTTTGTCAAAAAATGTGTCTTAAATGTATATGTACTTACAATTCAAACATCAAATACGTAAAGTCAACGAATCGCATCAACTAGTGTCTATCTATAGCAGAGTTGAATCCTACTGAGAACTGCCTTGCAGTCTTTCCTGAACCGTCTGTTGGCAAGTCCATAAATCAGTGGATTCACGGCGTTGTTGACGTAAAGAGTTACGGAGAGCTGCTGGAGGATCGTATTGAACAGTGGGTCGGAGTATGAAGCAATCGTAGCAGCAACACGGATCCAGTAGGGTAGCCAGGTCAAGAGAAACACAACGCTGGTGATGAAGAGCATCCTGGTTGTCTTACGCTGTAAAACTGCTGCATCTGCCTTTGGTGGTGCGCGTCCAGCGTAACCTTGATGTTGTCGAGTGTCATTGGTACCATTTACAACACGAGGGTCTTTATCCTTCGACACAAGACAATTTTTGGTCAAATTCGCTAGTGGGTGACTGGCACATCTTTTCCCGCTTTCATCAAAGGTCAATTCGTCGATTTCGTGGCCTGGTGCTCCCTGGTTTTCTACCTGTCTACTGGCATCAGCTGCCGTACTCGAGCGTGGTTTGGTTAACGTCGATACGGAAGCGACGGCAGAAATGTTCGGTTCAATATTTGTGAGCACGGAATCGTGTGGCCTTGTCGAACATTGGTCCGCTAGTCTGCAATCTCGAGTGGTACTTTTGACGCCGACTTTGGTGTGTTTCTTACGGAAGCTTGAATTGCCTTCCGAGATACCGCGTTACCGCGATAATTTATCGCAGAAATCAGGAAATCAGAGATAATTCCTTCCGCGATACCGCGTTACTGCGATAATTTATCACAGAAATCGTGAAATCAAAGATAAATCATTCAACGATACCGCGTTACTGTGATAATTTATCACAGAAATCCAGAAATCAGAGATAATTCCTTCCGCGATACCACGTTACTGTGATAATTTATCACAGAAATCCAGAAATCAAAGATACCTATTCCGCGATACCGCGTTACCGTGATAATTTATCACAGAAATCCTGAATTCAGAGATAATTCCTTCCGCGATACCGCGTTACTGCGATAATTTATCACAGAAATCCAGAAATCAGAGATAATTCCTTCCGCGATACCGCGTTACTGCGATAATTTATCACAGAAATCGTGAAATCAAAGATAAATCATTCAACGATACCGCGTTACTGTGATAATTTATCACAGAAATCCAGGAATCAGAGATACGTATTCCTCGATACCGCGTTACCGTGATAATTTATCACAGAAATCCAGAAATCAGAGATAATTCCTTCCGCGATACCACGTTACTGTGATAATTTATCACAGAAATCCAGAAATCAAAGATACCTATTCCGCGATACCGCGTTACCGTGATAATTTATCACAGAAATCCTGAATTCAGAGATAATTCCTTCCGCGATACCGCGTTACTGCGATAATTTATCACAGAAATCCAGAAATCAGAGATAATTCCTTCCGCGATACCGCGTTACTGCGATAATTTATCACAGAAATCCAGAAATCAGAGATAATTCCTTCCGCGATGCCGCGTTACTGCGGTATCGCGGAAGGAATTATCTCTGAATTCAGGATTTCTGTGATAAATTATCGCGGTAACGCGGAATCGCGGAATAGGTATCTTTGATTTCTGGATTTCTGTGATAAATTATCACAGTAATGCGGTATCGCGGAAGGAATTATCTCTGATTTCTGGATTTCTGTGATAAATTATCGCAGTAACGCGGTATCGCGGAAGGAATTATCTCTGAATTCAGGATTTCTGTGATAAATTATCATGGTAACGCAGTATCGCGGAATAGGTATCTCTGATTTCTGGATTTCTGTGATAAATTATCACAGTAACGCGGTATCGCGGAAGGAACTATCTCTGATTTCTGGATTTCTGTGATAAATTATCGTAGTAACGCGGTATCGTTGAACGATTTATCTCTGATTTCTGGATTTCTGTGATAAATTATCACAGTAACGCGGTATCGAGGAAAAGGTATTTCTGATTTCTGGATTTCTGTGATAAATTATCACAGTAACGCGGTATCGCGGAAGAAATTATCTCTGATTTCTAGATTTCTGTGATAAATTATCACAGTAACGCGGTATCGTTGAATGATTTATCTTTGATTTCACGATTTCTGTGATAAATTATCGCAGTAACGCGGTATCGCGGAAGGAATTATCTCTGATTTCCTGATTTCTGCGATAAATTATCGCGGTAACGCGGTATCTCGGAAGGCAATTCAAGCTTCCGTAGTTTCTTGATGGTCATGTAGACTTTGCCGTAACACAGGGCGATCAACACGAGTGCCACGACGAAGCAAATGACTTGGAATGCCAACCTCAAAAGGTCCAAGGACCGGTAACTCGATCCAGGTGTTCTGGGGATTAAGCCAGGAATATTGATGACAAGTGAGAATACAAATGCTGCCCCAGCTGCTATCTTGCCGCGTTTGTGGGTGAAGAACCGGCGGTGTGGCCGGCATACGCAGTCGTAGCGGTCCGCTGCGATCACAGCAGTCATCATAACCGACGTGCCGAGGGTTATTCCCTGAAAAGCTGAGAAAACAAATGTGAACTCATGGACCTCATTGCCGGTGATTTGAGCCACCGTATGATAAATAGAATACACAGCCAGCACGCAGACAGCCAGATCGGCCCAGGCTAAGGCAATGATGAATACATGGGTGCTGGTTTTTAGAGTCTTTGTCCAGTAGACACGGAGTATGAGGCAATTACCGGGAACGCCGAAAATGAAAACGATGCTTTGCACAATCAACTTGAATAGGTTTTCAACGGTGGCAGTCAGGACTAAATCAGATGGTGCGTTTTCAGAAATAGAGGTGGAATTCGGCTCTTGCGTGTGCTCCATGGCTTAAGATTTTGTCGACAAACCTATGTGAAACTCTCCTTCTTAAGTTGGCTCAGAAGAACAGCGGATGTGACATTTTAGTGTTGTCTGCTGGACAGGTACGTGTGCCAGATGAAAGCAACTATCTCCGCCGCATTACCTTTTATACGTAATTGCGACGGACAGAGGAGACGATGTGACCAACCCAATTGTACGTTTTTGCTGTGTACTGTGAGGGCGGCTAATCACGGTCATGCGCATGCCATTTCGTTTATTTTCAGCGATGCATTATATTTAATGGCTTCATATTCCCTTTCTCTTTTATTCAATTTAAAAACTGCATCTGCCGAGGACTGGGACATTCTATCATATTCTATCATATAGAAATTACTCTCTTCTTTTCTTGAGCAGTCTGAAGGAGTCACGCTCTGTACCAAACCGAAATAGCGCATATCTCTGTGAGGTAATTTGATCTGGATGTGCACAGGTCTTTTTTGGGAGAACAATTGAATTGCGGTAAATGGCGCCATCACTCACCTGGTGTCTTCCCCATCTCTGTCAATTAAATTGGAGACGTCGAGAAGGATCATAATCAAATTCAGGACCGAGTTTGAAGCTTGTGACTTTTTTCTCTCTTTCATTTGTTCCTGTTTTCTTTTGTGGTTGTTTTGGTTGCTGTGGTTGTTGTTATGAAGCTGAGCAAGTACAGTGGCGTAGCCACGGGCGGGGTGGGGGGGCGTGGGGGGCGACACCCATGAAACCTTGTCGCCCCCCCCCCCCAGTCGCCCCCCCCCCACTGAGATTTTGAGTTTCTAAAAAAAATTAGCATTGATCTACATGACGCCCCCCCCCATGAAATGTTCCAGCCCCCCCCCCCCAGCGGGCCCCCCCCCCCCCCCCCCCCCCCCACTGAAAAATTCCTGGCTACGCCACTGAGCAAGTACGATTGTGTACAACGGCGAAGTTGCGCAATGTCACCATTGCCAATAGGCCTTAGGTGTGTTGACGTCAAATTTTTCTTAAAAAGTGATATCAATGAGCTATTTCAGAGTGGCTACTGACATAATGTGCAATATATACGCTGCTGCGCCGTGTTACTGTTTCAAGCTTAAAACGGCACATTCTAATCGACATAGTTTGGAAAAAGATGCAAGAAAATATCACCGAACTGAAATTGTCCGTCAAACCTATAACTCAAATTTATTCTGGACAAATCTTCATAATCATAATCCTACTAAGAAATGGACTATCACAAACAGTGAGTCGGAATAACAAGAAAATACGTAGAAAAATACAAATACCGCAGCTTGAAAAACTTTCCTTGTTAAGCAGGGAGAACGGCGCGAATCTTTCAAGTTCAGTTTGTGCCAGGGAAATTTCACCTTATAAGATGAGACAGAGAAACACTCTAAGATAAGGTGATACGTTCAAAGTGAGACCATTTCAGACATCCATAAGGCTATGAGCAGTGGCGTCACCAGACTTTTCAGTTTGGGGGGGGGCACAGGGGGGGCACCAGCATTTGATGGGGGGCACTTAGGTGGATACGGATCGCCGTCCTGGGGGAGGGGTCTAAGGGGAGGGGGTGCCCCCCTCCCCTTTGGAAAATTTTCGCATACGGAGGATGGGCTAGATGCAAAATGGTGCCACATTTGCAGCTCATTTGAAGAAAATACGAATTACTGTGCTTCTTTGTCCTTATGAAAAACCAACTCAGATGATGGGAGTTGAATATAACAAAATATATATATATTTTTTTACCAACCCAAATCTCAGATGGGGGGGGGCACTCGGGGGGGCACTAGGTTTTCCAGGGGGGCACGTGCCCCCCTGGCCCCCCCCCCCCCCCTTGGCGACGCCACTGGCTATGAGAGAAGAGCAATGCAAACGAGACCTGATCAGTGAACGCCTTCACAAGAAAGGCAAACCGACACGTGAGCTATGACAGACAAAGGAGGCAGGCATCCTTTTGACATAACGTACGCGATGAACCGACAAATATTAAGAAAGCATACCAAGCGCTTAACCTGGTAGTGGTAGGCTTGCTATTCAGTTTTGAGCACTGGATACCACTGGAGTCACAGGTAAATCTTCATTCGAATTAAAATTTAAAAAGGCAAATTACTAAAGTTCTCCGCTTATGTGGCAAGATCTCTCTTTGACCCATTAAGATGTAACGAAGATGAGGGACGATTTCTATTTTGATCTTTCGTTTTCCAGATTCCTACCGTTCCTTCCACATTTTTTAACATTCATAAAGTACAAAGAGTCACCGTGACTATCCCTATCAGCACCAGGGCACAATGTGCATCCCTGTTAAACTTCTTATAATAGTTCCGGAACGTTTAGGCCGATCGGCAAGAAATTTAGTGACTTGTTCTAACTGTTATCGGGGATCAGCATGGTACCAAATATACGCCATAGGATGCCCGTCGTTACAATGGCAACTGACGGGTAATCATAACATTTGGTCACTTTGCATTTTTTTTTAAAATGAAAAGTATGCACTTTTGTGAGTCAAAACCATTTGGGTTTTTTTCCCGAAACTATCAAGCATCCACTTTGGACTAAAATCCATGGTCACGTGACCAACTGCAATACGTGCTCATGAAACTTATATGGCCGCTAGGTGCAAGAGCTTGTTTTCACGTTTTTGCACAATTTTCTTTAGGGTTACTTGGGGTTATTTTGGGGTACTTATAAATTCCAAGCATTCATAACACTAACATACTTCATTAGTGCCGATTGTGGTTGAAAAAAATCAAAGGTTTGGACAAAATCACAAAAATTATGATTTTACCAAAACAGTGGGTACAGCGCCCTCCATCGGTAATTTTCAGCCAAAACTTGTTCAGTGTGAAAATTCATCAAACTGAAAAAAATATTTGTACCAAATTTGAAAACATTTGGATGAAACATTTATGGAAACTGTATCAAAAACACTGGGTTTTTTTGTACCAAAAAATGGCAAAAATATAGCAAAGCGCTATCTTGGCCTCCCGACCAATGAGATACAGGGACTGCAACGTCTGCAAAATGCTGCAACCAGATTGGTTTGTCGCTGCAAGTGAAGCAAACACATAACCCCAATCCTACAATCACTTCATTGGCTCCCAGTGTCACAGCGAATCATCTACAAAACTCTCATTCTCAGATTTAAAGCAGTGCACGGACTGGCACCATCCTACTTACAAGAGCTGGTACATCATTGTCGGCCCACTCGCCAACTACGGTGTGCATCGCTCGTGATGTTGCAGGCACCCTCTCTACCTCCACGGACCTCCACGGACGGTGGCAGAGCATTCAGTGCTGCTGCTCCCTCTCTCTGGAACAGTTTGCCATCATAATTATATCAAGGACTCGATGACACTTGATTTGTTAAAGAGTCGTCTAAAGACTCATCTTTTTAAACAGTATTTTACTGCAGTGAATTAGTAGTGTAGCGGTACTGCCTCGGACGACTGCCCCGGCGAGTAGCGGCGAACGGCCTAGCCTCTACGGTCGGGTACGCAGATCCGTTTCGGCGGAGATTTACCGCCAGGCCCGCAGCAGACTACCAAAAACAACACCCTATCACTCACTCACTCCACTCACTGGGCTGACACAGACGGGGGGGGGGATATCTCGGGGAAGGAATGGGACACTGGACACGGATTTGCGCCTACCCTTAGCTTTGGTGATTTATTCCTTATGTAGTGAAACTCGGTGTGGAGTCGAGGTTCAGGGGTGATGATTCAATCACATCAAATTTATTAGTCGTCTATGCTCCCATTCATCACAAAAAACCTAGTAATCAAATACATTAAAAATAAATCAATATAAACTCACATAACTTCACATACATGTGAATGTATCCCATTAATCACAATACATATGTGTACAAGTAATAAATTAACCCTAGAAAATTACATAGTCCAACCCAGATACAAAGAACTCCATTGCAAATACAACAGCCTTCCCACATTAACATACATGTATGACATGTGACCTCTGACCCGGTCGGCGTCTTGGAAGTTACACTTTCGTTGATAGTAAAACCCCCAAAATAACATGAAAATAATTCAATTTGTCCCATACCAGCCAGTGCACGGGCTCCAGGGCTGTCTCTCCTTCCTCTGATGTCTAAATGTACATCCCAGCCATCGGCTGTCAGGCTAAATTGGTCTGATATTGCTAAAGCAAGCTTTCTGCAGCTGTCAGAAACGCAGACCTCGGAGACAGTGCCCGCCAAACCCGCTTACGTAAACAGTTGTTTAGTATTAAGGCGCACACGATAAAAACATCATCTGCTCTATCCTACATTCACATATTTTACAATAACAGAAATTTACTTCTGAGAATACAGCACTTCATGAGAGATAGAACCCCTTAGTTATCTATTATCGTCAAAATATCCCCTTACTTGGCTGATGAACGTATCCTCATAACCCCTCAACAAATTCGCGGAAGTTTGACCAGTTAACTTAAACAGCGCCCTCATTTGACCTTATGGGCAAAACAAATAAACTATTTCTAATCACTACACTTATTCCAGTTTCAGCCTACCTAGGTGCCTCGCCTACGTGACAAGGGCGGATCCAGAACACAATTTTGGGGGGGGCCAAAAAAAAATTTGGTCCCCCCCCCAAAAAAAAGTGGGTCTAAAAAATTACGGCGTGGGGTTCGGGGCCCGTCAGGGCCCCGAAAAATTTTGGGATTCTAGATGCTCTGTGGTGCGATCTGAGGCAATTTCTGACCACTTTAACCAATTTTTTTGAGGAAAAGATGGTGGTGTACTCATTGCCTGCCTTTATTGCGATGTCACATTAAAAAAAAAAAAATTGGTTTCGTTTTGGGGGGGGCCATGGCCCCCTTTGGCCCCCCCCCCCTGGATCCGCCCTTGCTACGTGATCATGTATTCAATCACTTACCTTATAGCCTCAGAGATAACTTAATTATCTGGATTATGATGCAGGAATCATTTGTCAATTACACTCACACAAAGTATGAGGCTCCCTCCATTGCGACTGCAGGTGATTGGTTGATTGCTTTGATTGATTGATTGATTAGAGCAGTGTGAGAACACTTCATGAGACCGCGCTCGGTTTACAGCCACAGCAGAAAGAGCGCAAAGCTGAGTGCTTATATACACTGGGGCTATTGGCTGGTGCCCCCATACACCTGGGTGAGTGCACGCGCACTCCGCTGGCTACCAGTAAAGAATTAAAGTGCACTCTCTATAAAATGCATTGCGCTACAGTAGTAGTAGTCCGGCAGAAGGGCATATGAGCGTTCTGACACAAAAATCATTTCCAAGAAAATTGCATTAAAAGGTTCCAATGTTCCCCCGCGCGCATTTTGACGAAAATGTAATTTCATTAAAATGGAGGCATTTTTTTCTGCATATGCCCTTTTGCTGGGAACATTTTGGTTATTACGCGCTATTGCATAAGGGCATATGCACATATGCCCTTCTGCCGGGCTCACGACGACTGTCTGTCTGGTGTTTTCCATGTACAAAGGTTTGACCGTTGTATTTTATTGGCAAATCCCTATTTATTCCTGTTTTTATCTAGTATGTTTGCTTGTGTGTTGTAAATCGCTTTTTAAATGTTAGATTGTAGGCCCCCATGCAGCTTTTTGAATTGTTTTTGTATTGTCTGAAGGTTTTATTGGAATTAGTATTTTAACTTAAATAATACAGTTTTGTATGTCTATTCTTTGTTTAAGCGCCTTGAGGTGGATTTTTCTGCGATTGTCTGCGCTTTATAAATTTCTCTATTATTATTATTATATATCTACTTTAGACTAAAATTCATGGTCAAGTGACCAATTATAATCCACATTGGGAAATTAATATAGCCAACATTGGCGCAAAACAAATGTCACCTTCTCTGCACAATTGTCTTTGTTTAAGGAGACCTATCAATGCAAACTGCAAAGCATTCGATACACTAGCATGAGTACTTCATTGGTGCCAAATTTGGTTGAAAAATTCAAATTTTGGGACACAAAAAAGGGGATCTTGATTTTAGAAGAAAAGTGAGTATACCGCCCACTGTCGGTAACGTTGGATGCCAAAAGAATTGACCCAAAGAACATTTGTGCCAAATTTGAAAAACAATTTTGATGAAAAATGTAAAAGAAATGTCAATACTACTGATTTTGACCAAAAATGGGCCAAAATAGTTAAGCTACCTCTTGTTGTGACGGCACCGCAACGTCATATTGTACAACACCGACGAGAAAATCGGTCGAAAAAAAATCGGGCGCCGCATCAGTAGACCCAAACGCTCCGGTCGCGATAGGGTTAAAGTTTACAACACCTCTTGTCTTCATAAATATAATTTCTTTTTATTTTCTGCTTGTCAAAAATGGTGTAGTCAAGGTACACTCACAATTAAGAAAACAAAACGCGTTAACTAGAGTCATTTTAACAGAGCCTAATCTTACTGAGAACTGCCTTGCAGTCTTTCCGGAACCGTCTGTTGGCAAGTCCGTAAATCAGCAGATTCACTGCGTTGTTGACGTAAAGAGTTACGGAGAGCTGCCGGAGGATCAAATGCAACACTGAGTCGTTGTAGGAAGCAAACACAGCCGCAACACGGATCCAGTAGGGAAGCCAGGTCAGGAGAAACACAACGCTGGTGATGAAGAGCATCCTGGTTGTCTTACGCTGTAAAACTGCTGCATCTGCCTTTGGTTGTGCGCGTCCAGCATTACCTTGGTGTTGGCGAGGATAACTGTCATTCTTCTCAACACGAGATTGTGTATCCTTTGATGCAAGTTCATGTGTGGTCAAAGTCGCTTGTGGGTGACTGGCCCATCTTTTCCCGCTTTCGTCAAAGGTCGATTCGTCGAATTTGTGGTTTGGCACTCCCTTGCTTTCTACGATTCTGCTGGCATCAGCTGCTGCACTCGAGCATGGTTTATAGATGAACGTCGACACGGAGGTGACGGCAGGAATGTTCGGTTTGACATTTTTCAATACGGAGTCATGTGGCCTTGTCGAGCATTCGTCGGCTAATCGAGAGACGCTGCAATTTCTAGTGGTACTTTTGATGTCGACTTTGGTGTGTTTCTTGATGGCTGTGTAGACTTTGCAGTAACACAGGGCGATCATCACGAGCGCCACGACGAAGCAAATGACTTGGAATGCCTTTGTCGAAAGTTCCAACGACTGCCCACTAGCAAGGGTTCCGGGGATGAAGGCAGGAATATTGATGACCAGTGAGAATACAAATGCTGCCCAAGCTGCTATCTTGCCGCGTTTGTGGGTGAAGAAGCGGCGGTGTGGCCGGCATATGCAGTCGTAGCAGTCCGCTGCGATCACAGAAGACAACATAACCGACGTACCGATGGCTGTTGAATCAAAAGCGTGGATAATAAATGAGAACACTGGAACCTCATATCTAGCCATTTCAGCAACCTTACCATAAATACGATGCACAGCCAGCAAGCAGGCGACCAGATCGGCCCAGGCTAAGGACATGATCAGAACATGGGTACTGGTCTTCAAAGTCTTTGTCCAGTAGACACTGAGTATTAGGCAGTTACCAGGCACGCCGAATAAGAAAATGACGCTCTGTACAAATAACCAAAATATGTTTCCAGCCGTGTCAGACAGGCCTGAATCCGAGTCTGTGTTTTCAAAGATTGAGGTGGAATTCGACACTGAAGTATTCTCCATGACTGGAGTTTCTCTCATCACAACTTTGTTAAAATTCTCCTTGTTACGGTGTCTCAAAAGAACAGATAATGTTGAAATTGTAATGTGTCTGTCTATAACTGGTGCACTAGATGAAAGCACTGGCAACTATCTCCGCAGCATTACCTATTATCCTTAATGCGACGCACAGCGGAGACGACGTATTGTGATCGGCCGCATTTAGCATTTTCTTGCTGTGTACATGTATTGGGGGCTAGCTAGGTTGGCCAATCATGGTCATGAATGCCTAAGTTGTTTATTATCAACGGTCCATTATAAGTATCGGCTTCGTAACCTTTTATCTTCTACCCTTATATAAACATGCATCTCCTGAGAACTTGCAGGATTTTCTCAACGGCCTTGTCTTTCGAAGCACTGCCTGTTTATCTAGAAACTTGCCGATAAACGAAGACAATTCATTTGCTTGTGGAAATTAACCTTATTTTTCGTGAGCTATTATCACTGTTGGAAATTATCGAGCTTTGTACCAGACCAAAATTCAGAAGGAGATTTCTGTCAAATACTTTTATATGGGTGTGTGTGGGAACTATTGTTTGGTCGATATTCGTTTGGCCGCCCAATTTAATCGTAGTATATAAAATGAGTTGATTTTAATTGAATTCAAATACTTTATTTGATCCAGCAAGGAAATTATATTTGCTCACCGGTAAAAAAAAAAAAAAAAAATATTTACCAATTTCACAAAAAGAAATACAATGCTATCCCCAAAAGCAGTAAAATTACACTACTATTCAAATTTAACATTATAGAATGTTAGATATAATTAAAACATATCAAAAGACGTCACTGTCACTTTCAGTCATTCTTAAATATAAAAACTAACTTTTAAAATTGGAATTTTGAAATGTGATGGATCAGGGTAAAAGTGATCGCGGGTTTCGTGTTTTTGTCTCAGGTATCGGCAGTTTCATCCTACCCCTACGCGGAGTATTTTGTCCGGTTAGTCAGATTTCATGTAATGGATGACTCCCATCATATCAAACCGAAGAATATATCTAATTTCCAAACCACGGTGATGGACCGAGTGTGGGGACTGTGTTGGTCGGAAACTGAGCTACTGGTTTGCGAGAAACCTCAAAAAACAGTCGATCAATAAATCAATGCTGGCCGACAAAGATCATGGAGAATTTCTTTGACTCAGTTCTTGGTTTGTCTTTCTTGTGATTCAGTCTTTGTTTCTTTTTGCTCTTCTGTCTTTTCTGGATCTTTCTTTCTTTGTTCTACAACAATACAATACAATTGTACATACATTAACAATCAACAAGTAATTAACAATAACATGAATCATTCAATTTGATCATAAACAATGGATATATGTATGTGAAGATAGAATACATTAATTGCCCGTGTTACACAAATAACCCATAAAAAATCCCCAAAATGTCCTCTAAATGGCAACACAGATCACTTATACTATACCACAAAAGAATGTTTACATTATCATCTACATTAATGCTAATCATACTCGCCCAGTCAATTATTATAGAAATGGATCATTTCTGATGTAATTCTGGGAACATTTACGGTAAAAAAAACTTGCAGAAGCAGCCATGATGGGAAGGATAAACAGCGCCACCAAGTGGCGAGAGAACTTTCCGAAACAACGCCACAAATTTTGAAGGGCGACCGCTCTATCTGAAAGAGTCAGAATCAACACCGAGTCTATACCCCTTCCTGACCGACAACCGATCACCTTTGCGACCTGTCGCACCAACTTATTGATTTGATCTTTCTCTGTCAGAGCAGCATTCTTCCCAGCTGACTAAGCAGTTATTCTATACAGTAAATCGAAGGGTTCTCCTTGAATGAATTCCTCTCCCAAAGACAGTAAAGTATCCTTCCGAAAATGTCATCTGGCTGCCGATTGAATCACGTATTCTTTCAAATTAATTCTATACGTTTACAAAACACAACACTGTCTGGCTCCTTCCTACCTGACCGATTTACTCTCTTTGTATCAATCAGGTAGGGCGGGGCTTAGGTCTTCAACAGATACTTCCCGATTACATGTTCCTATTAACACTAAAACCACAGGTGACATTGCTTTCTCGATTGCTGGCCCCAGGGAGTGGAACAAGATCCCTCAACACATCTGACTTGCATCGTCAATCATCACCTTCAAGATATCGCTCAAAACACATCTGTTTCTTTAATCAATTCACCTTCATCTTTACCTCTCATTATCCCCTGGATCCCTTGAGTTATTCTTAAATTAAGTTTTTTGTTTTGTTTTTGTTTTTGCCTTGTTTATTTGTAGATTTGTAGTTTTGTAGTTTTGTGCAGCGCTTTGATCTTTGTTAAAAGCGCTTTAAATGCTCCATATACTTGTATTTAGATACCCTTTCAACCTCACTGCCCTTGATTTGAACAGACTTCGGCTCAGTCTTTTTAACCCGAAAATTAATCAACATTTCCTTGGTCTTGTTGACATTAATTTCTCAATACTTTCAATAGCAGTAATCCACAAACCGGTCAATCTGGTTTATAAAAAGAACACTGTCATCATCATGCTTTTATAAATCCTACCTTAGCCGAATTATCAGCAAATTTAACCAAGGAACACAACTCATCAGTGCTTTCACAGTCTGCAGTATGCAATGTGAAGTTCTGGAGCAAGTACAGTCTTGCGGAATTCCAGTGCTTGAATAAGTTGTATCTGAATGCACCTTCGATTCGACCAATGTAATTGTAACAAATTGAGTGCGATCAGTGAGATCATTCAAGATGAAGGTCATTAACGAATGAGGTACACTGTCCAGGTTTGAAAGCTTTTGACAAAGAAGATGTAGCTGTATTGTGTTGAACGCCGATGGGAAATTAAAAAAAAAACCTGTAGAGTGCCCTTGACTTGCTTTATCTAAATGATAAGAAAGCATCGTCGGTACTTCTGTCTTTCCAATGTGCAAACTGCATGGAATAGAAAGAATTAAGTACAAAAATCTGCACAGAGGTCAATGCAACTGGACGTAAATCATTTAGGCAATAAAATGTAGACATGTTTGGAACAAAAATTGTGATTTTGCCAAATCAGTGTGTACAGCGCCCTCTATAGGTAATTGTTGATGTCAAAAATTATTTAGTTAGTTGAGTTTTGACCCAAATAATATTTGTATCAAATTTGAAAGAATTTTGATAACATAATTATGTATGAAAACATCGGTTAATTATTCTGTTTTTGACCAAAAAATGGCAAAAATTTTGCAAAGCGCATTCTTGTCACAGCAGCGCACCCCCAAATTACGTCATATTGTGGAATACAGGCCAAACAACATTTCTGCCAAATGTTAGAAAAATTGGATGCCGTATATAGGAAATAAGATTGGGGCGGCCTTGAGGAGACGCGAAATAACCACCTCCTCGTGTCTTTAACACTGCTTGCGTTCATGTACTATCAGTTATGTTCATTTTCTTCTTTTTAAAAAAAATGCTGCCTTCTAGCTTAGGTAAACTTACAATTAACACATCAACTTCATAAGTACTTCAAATTGCGTTAACTAATGTCATTTTAACAGAACTTAATCTTACTGAGAATTGTCTTGCAGTCTTTCCTGAACCGTCTGTTGGCAAGTCCGTAAATCAGCGAATTCACGGCGTTGTTGACGAAACCGTAACGGTGAGATGCTTAAGGAAAATATAAAACGCTGGGTTGTAGTATGAAGCAAGAGAAGCGGCAAGAAGAATCGAGTAGGGTAGCCAGGTCAGGAGAAACACAACGCTGGTGATGAAGAGCACCCTGGTTGTCTTGCGCGGTGCGCGTCCAACGTTACCTTGGTGTTGTCGCGTATCATTGGTTCCATCTTGCGTTGTGAGATTCTGTATCCTTCGACACAATTACATGTTTGGTCAAAGTCGCTTCAGGTTGACCAGCCCATATTTTCTCGCTTTCGTCAAGAGTCGATTCGTCGATTTCGTGGCTCGGTGCTCCCTTGCTTTGTGCCATTATACTGACATCAGCTACTGTGCTCGAGCATGGTTTATGGGTGGATGGATAATGTGCTAAAGAAATAGTCCCTTACTTAAAGAAACTAAATATACAAGAAATACAAAAAAATTAAGGGGGGGGGGGTTCAATTTTCGTACCTGTCACACATGACTGTAATGGATGACACTCGTCGTATGAAATCGAATAATATCAATAAATCAATGCTGGCCGATAAAGAACATGAAGAATTTCTGACTCAGTTCTGAATTGTTTGTCTTTCATGTGGTTCGGTCTTTGTTTCTTCTTCTTTACTTCCACCAAGTGGCGAGAGAACTTTCTGAAACAGCATCGTAAACACTGAAGGGAGCCCTCTCTATCTGAAAGAGTCAGATTCAACTCCGAGTCTACTAATTCCTGACCGACCACCGATCACCCTTGCGGCCTGTCGTACCAAGTTATTGATTTGATCCATCTCTGCCTGAGTAGCATTCCCTTCCGATTTGTTCGTAGCCCCCCAAATTTGTCGTAGGCCCTGGGCACAGTGCCTTCTATCCTATTGATAATCCGGGTCTGTAATTTTTCCAAAAATTATTTCCGGTTGTAAATCTCACGGAACTGCTAAAGGTGATGGACCAGGTTTAACATTGTTGGAGCAATAAGAGCTACTGATATAACAGAGAGTTCCTGCTTAAAATTGTTTAACGTTGGCAGAGTGAGACTGTTATGGTCTAAGTGGATGCAATCGCGTAAGATCAGGTACCATTTTTGCAGATTCGCTGACCTCTTTATAATTATGTTTCCTTTTGGATTTCGCAAATTGACTGTTTCACTGATCTTGTTGAATATTGTATTATAGGCTTCATGCGGAGACCGTGTTTTGTTTCTTTCCTTGAAAAAAAGGTAAAAATATATTCCGTGAATTAATCCTTGCAAGTGTTTAAAAAAAAATGTGATTGATAAAACAATCAGTTATGTACTGACCAAGCATTCGGGGGTCGGATAAGCCATCGCAATGAGCCCTAGAGATTGGACTCTTCTG